TTATTTTATAATTTTAAATTTTTGAAAAGCATTAATTAATAATTTTCTTCTCCTTATGAAAATGAAAACAATGAAGTTTATAAAGTAAGTTTTATAAATAAAGTTTTTTTAAAATTTATTTAGTACGTAGAAAAAATATAGGGTATACCCGTAACAACCAACATAGCAATCAGAGTCGAGAAGTACCAACGCTTTAATTGCCGATTTGTACATGGTACGAACTTTTGCCCATTACTTTCACCGTGCATGATTCTAAAGCAAAAACAACACCAAAAAAGAAAAAAAAAAACAACTACAAGGAATGACAGAAGTTCAAAATGAAATTGTTTATATAAGGGCAATAATAAAAAAAAAGAGTGAAAAAGAAAGAAATGAACATACAAACAAAGCCAACAGCCGTTGGCGTTGAGGTATGAGTACTGCAACAACAACAACCGCAGCAACAACAACAACAACAACAACAAAAGCCTGCAAGAGTAAGAAAGAGCAGAAAAAGGAGCCGCGAACAACAACGCACTCTGTTGCTTTTGCGTTCTTTGTTTTTGCCGCAGCGGTTAAATCTTTCTTTTGCCTTTTACCCCCCGCATGTCTTTTTTGTTGTTGTTTCTTTTCGTGTTTTGTTTTGCAGCTCTACGTGACTGCAATAAAATTTAACTGCAATTACGTGTCGCATGCTTTGTGTGTCGAAAATGGCCAAAATAAAAGAAGCAGAAGAAGCAAAAAGAAAAAGCAATGGTCAAGATGTGAACGAGTAACATTGAATGCCTCAAGGATACGCACAGCATGCGGCAACCAAAAATGCTGACAGACAGCTAACGGCACATTTCTCCCAAGTCCTTGTGTTGTGTGTTTTGGGTTTGTATTTTTGCGTGAGTAATTGTCAGTGCTGCCAATTTCAATTGTATTGTCAGTGGGCAGCACTTTTTCTGTTGCTAAGGCACGAGAAGGTTACACACGAGGCAATTCTATTTCCATCGAATGGTAGGCAAAAATTATATGTATGTAATGCTTATTCAATTTGATAATGCTTTCAATTGTGTATAAATTCACGCGTTTAATGATGAGTCGAAATGATTTAAAAATGAAATAAAATTTGATTCATTCATTTGTAATATCTTGCGTATCTTGAGTAGTCGTAATACATGTGACGTCACAGTCGTTACAGCAAATGGTGTTGTCGCATGCCATGCGTTACCTTCAGCGCTATCGCCATGCGTGAGAGCATGAGAGGGAGCGGATGAGCGAGCGAGCGAGCAAGCGAGTGAGCGAGGTTTATAGTGAGTGCGTCGCCGCCGTTGCTCGCATTTATCTTTCGGCCGATGCGCGCATGAGACGGACGACAGCAGTGCAGCGGATAAACGAAAACGGGAAAATAATAGTTGTAAATTGTAATAAGCGCGCGCGGCGGCAATTAAAGGCGACAACTCAGTTCAAGTTAAAATTTTGTTATATTTTTTTTATTATGTCGCATTCAGACATATTCACACACATTTATACGCAATTTTATTGCGCCTTTTGTCGTGGTAATAACTTTTTGCTGTCGTTTCGGGCTTGTTGATTCCTTTTATTTTATATTTTTTGGATGTGGTTGTTTGTGTTGCGCGCTTTATTAAGTTCCTTCAACAACAAGAATAACAAAAGCAATTAGCTCCAGCTGCTTATGTTTATACAGAACACACAACTACAAACGCGCGTGTGAAATGCGGCAAATGAAGCAATAATTAAAAGTGCCTTTTTTAATTGAAGAGCAGAAAACTCGAACAACAAAAACAACAACAATTACAGCAACAGCAGGGCTGCTGGCAATCGAAATCGAATTGACGTTAACATTGACGCGGTAAGAGCAACACACATATACAAATACTACATATTCATATACTACAATAACTCATACATAGAAGCATTCATTTGTTCCTGCAATACAACCCTGCTGACTGGACTGCCAAAAGCTCTAGCTAAGCAAGGCAGTGCGACAGAGAGAGGAAGAGATGTGAAGTAAAAGAGAGCGCAAGCAAGGCAGGGATAGAGATGAGTTGTTTGTTTTTGTTTTTGGCAGTTAATGTTAATGCGTTTCGCTTTTGTCTTATATGAGCGTTTGCGTGTCTACGGGGCGGCTGCACATCGACGTCAGTATTTCTTTTTTTTTTTTCCAATCCAAGCAATAATAGACGGTCGGGGGAGTACGCCCTGCCATACGCTTTATGCTTTTATTATTGTTTACTTCGTTTCATTTTGTGCCTTATCTTCATCGCTGCGCTCTTTACTATAAACCGCAGACTCACACACCCGTAAAGTCTATCGGTGTGGTTGTGTGTGTAGTTTCATTCAACTTTTCTGCATGCGGCAGCGAATTTCGTTCGTGCTCGGATATGGCAACGCCGCGAAGTCTAGTCTCTTGTTTTGCCGGTTCCTGTATCTAATTCCTTTTATTTTTGCAAGTCATATGGTAACGGTATGTGCGTCATTCTGCCCGCACCCGCATCCGCAGCTGCTGTAACGGCACCACCCGCATCAAACACGCTCTCCCTTTCTTTCTTCCTTGCTCCTTCCTATTTGTTGTTATTGGTGGTGTGGCCGTTTAATTGCTTCTGCACGTTCGTCAAATATTTGCTCAACTCTTTTTAATTATATTGCCCACTTCACACATACATGCACACATATGTAGCATTTACCATTTTACCCTTTCACACGCACGCGATTTAGAAGTAAATCGTTCAAGTGTGAGTTTTGGCATGTGGAGCAAGGAAGACAGCGCACAGTGTGATATTTGTCATTGATTTGCAATGTAATTGTCGTAGAAGAAAATTGTTTAATTTAAACAAGCTACAAAGAAATTGCACAACGAATAATTAAAATAATTGCATATGATTAAACGCTCGTGATTAGTTTTTAAGTGGTAAGAAATTTAAAGTTACATTAAAATTTAAAGCCCGATCTAAACTGAATCAGATATTGTATATCCCTTTTACTAATGTAAAGCAGAACACAATGACAGAGATCTAAACACTATATATTTAGGGCTAGAAAATTCGAGAATAATAAATAACAACAATTACGGACAAACTCCACTTGAACTTTGTAATTGAATTTGTGTCTATTTTGTATTCTTTGGAGTGATTTTTATTGTAATGTACTTTAAGGGATTTTCCACGCCTATTTGATTGCATATACAAATATATATAGCCTTGCGGTGAACTTAATTGATGCTGCTTGCCCTGAACCGAAATGAACAAATATACAATCGTATGTATTTCTTCGAACATATTTTTAGACTTGTAATGCAAGTTCCTATTCTGTGCACAGACACAAGGCATTTGGACTTTTGTTCAATTCGATGTGCGTTTCGATTTATAATTTGTCTCGTATTCATATGAACTGATTTTTACTTCCCCTTCTTTAAGTAGCACATTTCATAAGCTTTCGGGCATGAAATCGCCCACAGAAGGCCATGCCTTGGCCCACTGTGCAGCGGAGGTTGCCAAAGCCCAGAAGTGAATTCGCTCAGTTGAGCGCATTTTGTTGTATTTTCGCCGGGCAATACGCGCAGCAGCCGCCACAGTCTCTGTCTCAGTTGTGGTCGCTGTCGCAGTGGACGCAGCAGCAGCTACAGCACCCATATGACTTTTGCACATGGCTGTGGAGCTGCGCTGCTGCGTTGCGTTGTCGTCGTCATTTTTGTTGCTGTTGTTGGCTTCAGTGCTTTACTTTTTATGATTCTTATTACACGCTTTGCTGCTTATGGCAGGGCTTTGCGCTTGCCTTTGCCTTTGGCTTTGCGTTGCTTTTCTTTGCTTTGTGGACAACGACGCTGACTGCGCTAGTCTTTGAAATATTTATGCGGCTACTGCGGACGCGACATCTCTGCTGCTGTTCATTTGAATTTTTGTTGTAGTTGTTGTAAATATTTTATTATCGCTTGTTTCCGTTTAGTAACCGAAATGGGGAAAAGTGTGTGCACACGCACAGCCAAACACACACTCACACGCACTCATCATAGTCACACACATGCATGCATACGCATACGCGTACATATTTAAAATTCTTTTGTCGCCATATT